GGGTGATAGATATGTAGGTATTTATGTCCATGGGGTCTCCCTTCTTGTAGAGTAACGTGATTATGCCAATACTTAGATAAGGTCCCGGACTTTCTTTGTCCCATGCTGACTTAATAAAATTGCAGAGTTCCTCTCCTAAAAGAGGCCAATATGCTTGCCATAACTCTTTGGAGAGGCCTTCTAGGCCTGGGGTTTTCCCTGGTTTTATGGAATCTAGGGCTTTTCTCGGTTCTTCGCTGTTGATTGGTTGGTCAAGCTCTATGGCTAAGCTGGATAGGCTTGTCTTGTCTAGGAGTTTGCAAAATTTTTCTCTAGCTTTTAGGACTGACCTGGTGTGGGACTTTCAGTCTTGGTAGAGTAGAGTTATTTGTAGAAGGATTCTGCTATGGAGACTATTTTTGTTGGGTTTGATGACATCCCTTCTTCCCCTCTTAGTTGTTGAATGGCTGAGTTGCTTCCTTCGGATTTAATTTTTTGAAAGAAGAACTTGGTCATTTTTCCTCCTTCTTCCCATTCTTTGATCCTTGCTTTTAGTCCCAATCCGTTTTCCCTCCAAGCATTCCAATTGGCCAGTTTTGTTCTAGTTCAGGATAATAGTTCCTCATAAGATGTCACTCCTGGATTGCTCCTAAGGTTTGTTTCCGCGAGATTCATTGTTGCTTCTAATTCTTTTATGCGTTGGTTTCTTCTGCCTGCTAGTTTCCTAGAGGCTATCGAGGCCGCTTTGGAGAGGTTGGCTACTAAGGCCGGGAAGTCTGATCCCACCCTCTCTAAATCTATTTAAGATTAAGTTATTGATCTTGAAGAAACCTGATTTTTTTTGTAATCCTGGGTCAAAGAGAAAGTCTATGAATATTGGATTATGGTCTAGGCCACTGTGATAGGGCAGTTTCCCTACTCCTGCATTAATGATCGTCCCTGTGAGGGAATCAGAAACCAGGGAATAGTCTATTGTTGAGTTGGACATGTGTTGGGTTCTATTTATTTTCCTGTATGTGAGTCTATTTGCATCTGGATATAGAGTTTTAAGTTTTTTTGTAGTATTAAGGCATGCATTATCTGGGCTTCACTTTGGAGTGCGGATTCTTGGTCTCTTCGCGAGCTCGAAAGTTTGTCTCTAACCGGGTTTAGAGTAGTGTTCCAATCGCCTGTTAGTATTATTTGTTTCTCCTCGTCGCACATAGCTATTATATTTTTTATGAAGGCCTTGTTTTTGTGGGAAGTCATTAGGGCTATGAGCGTTTATAAATTGAAAGGTTTCCTCCTTGTAGGTGAAATGAACTTTTATCCATTTTCTATTATCTGGGTCAAGTTTGCTCTCTACTATCTGGATTAAGTAGGCTGCTCTCAAGCTTTGGTGCGGCAGAATCGTTGTTCCTGCTGAGCCTATTCTTGGCGAGGGGCCCCAAAGACCTATGCGTACATGCTTTAGCCTTGTTCGAATTATGTTAATTATTGCTTTGTGTTATGGGGGGTATGACAAGTGTGTTTCTTGACGACATACTATATCGGGTGGGTTCCTTGTAAACCAGTTCAAGTAGTTCATCTTATTGTCCCATTTGTCTGTGTTGGTTAATATTGATGCTAGGCCATTAACATTCCATGACACCCCTGGTTAACCACATTTGTGTTTCACTGTGCAGTGCTTGATCTGGCCAACCCCTTGGTCACGCGTTGGCCGGGGATGTGCTGTCATGGAATGTTTAAAATGGGACCTAGTGTTTTTATTTGTTTATTGTGGAGTTAGTTGAAAGGTGACTCGTTGTAGGGAGTCAGGCCCACTTTGACCTGGCGGGAATTTGTTTCCAAGACCTGGTTCAGGTGGTCGTCCTTGCCATCAAAGAGAACATGCCCCTTGACTATTGAGGCTGAGACTGCAGCCCTTTCTGAGGGAATTTCTCCTCCCATCAAACCATAGGGGATTGCATGCATCACCTTCCATGGTTTCCAAACCATGTGATCCATAAGTTGTTCCTCCATCGAGTAGCGCACCATGTAGGGTTTGAGGTCACTGGCTAGGATGTCTCCTGCGTCGTCTAACCATTCTTCCCTCCACTCATCATTGGATCCTAGGATGTGCGCTGCTACTGGTGCGTCCTTTGAGATGTTGGCCGCTAGGACCTTGTTGGAAGGGCTGGCCAAGGATATGAGAGACCATGACTTGACCACAACAATCTCTCAATACCCGTGTTCCTCGTTCCATCAGTATTGCGGTACTACTCTTTTCCTGCAGCCCCCCTTGGCTTCCAGCCTAGCCGTTGTGAAGATCTCAGCGTTCTGTCCCAGAGCTAGCCCTTGCAGGTTGACAGAGTCATCGACTATTTCCCTGTTTTGATCCCTGAGGACTATGATCTGAGTGTGCAGGATTTCTTTCTGCATGTCTCGATCCTCTCTTGTGTTCAGTTGGATCTTTTCGCCCTCTCTCCCTTCCACTTGTGTCGGGCCAATTAAGTTCCTTTGTTCTTTCCCTCCTTTTTGCTTAGGTGGATGCTTTCTGCTTTTGTGTATGTCTTTGGCCATTTAAACAGGTTTTGATCAGACACAACATTCTTTCCTGATTGGTCCAGTCTGTGTCCATATTGTTCTGCAAAAAATTCAGACAGTTCTTGTTCCTTTTCCAGTATTTCGTACTGGTTTTGGGTTGGAATTTGAAACTCCACTTCTCTCTCTCTTTCAAGCTTCTTGACAGAGTCGTTCAGTCATTTTAGCGAGTTTTCACTCCCTCCTTCATTCTCACCTAGATGCTCATCTTGCGGGTCTGTGTTTTCTCCCTTGGAGTCTTGGGACATCTTGTCATCCTCATCGTCAGTTACTTGTTCATCAGCTTCGTCCTTCTGTCCTTCCGCAGTCCCTTCCTTCTCTTCTTCCCCTTTCCCTACGTCCATTGAGCCTTTGCTGCCATCTTCGTTCTCATCCTCTGTTTTCTCTGTTCCCTCATGGTCTCCTTCTTTAGCATCTGCATTCATTTAGTCTGTTGTTGAGCATGTTTCATTGACTTTGCTCACCTTGCGGGCTGTCTGATTGTTACCTGACTAGGCCGAGGTGTCTTGCTCCGCCTTTCGTTTGAGCAGTTTGCTTGAACTCTCTGAAGGGCAGACACTTTTCATGTGATTTGCTTTCTATTCGTCTTTGTGAGTTCGTTCCATTTGTGTTTTTTTAATGCACGCAACACTTTTTCCTTTGCCTTTAGATTTTTTATGAATGTTTTTTCTGCTGAGATCCCTGTTCTGATGAGTTACTGCCAAGTATTTTTCCTTTGCTTGTCCTCCATAACCCCTTGTGCGTCTAGAATTTGTTTTCTCAGGAATCCGCAGTCCTTGTCTTCGATTTTTTTGGACCCCTTGTTTTGCCATTGGCTTCCATAGGGCGGATAGATGTTCGATTGATTTGTCGGTTCACCTTTCATCGTCCATATCCATTTTGGAGTCCCTATCATTTCATCAAACACCCATTGTTACATGCACAGATATGTGATGTTTGTAATAACCGAGGAACTGCAATGTGACGAAAAGGACTGAAATGGACAATGCGGTGAGAGTAGAATCTCGACAGACAATGTGCATTCTCATACATACAAAAGTGCTGAATAGCGCAGGGAAGACTTAGATACAAAGACTGACCTGACAAGGACTGACCTTACACACGTAGTAGCAAGTAGCGAAACAGACTGCTAGAATGTTGATAACTAGTCCAACCGATGGTTGAACTCAGACCAAACATGCATCGTACCCCTCACCAGGTGTGAAGGAGCCTGGCGCTGCACACAGGAAGAAAGCTTCAGGTCCAGACATGCACAGACGAAAGGAGGGAGGAAGATGGGAGTGTCGTTAACACCAAGTCTTTGTCACCGATCCCAAATAACCCCTCGTTGCCATGTCTGAATCCCAAAAAGTCGAGTCTTGGATCCGATATCACCAAGCTCG